ATCGATTAGTTGAATAAAAAAAAAAAGAAATATATGTAAAGTGGCAACTGCGACAGCCAGATTAATATTCTTATATAATCAATTAATTTCAACTAGTTGATTAATCGATTAGTTGACCGATCGATCAATTAATCGACTAAGTTGGTTTGTAAAATTCAAATCGATCGTGTTATATACCGTCTCAATTTCTTCAATTTCTTCAGAAGTGAATGCGGCTACTTGTTTACTGAACTTCCACTATATAATTTATTGTTATAATATAATTTAGTAATTTAATATCACAAAATTTTTTATTATGTTTCTTAAAATTTATACCGTTAATGGATTATTTGGATCTTGGCTATCCTCATTCAAAGAATCAGAATCCCATTCATCGCCAGAATTCTGTTCGTTGTTAGAACCCCGTTCATCAACAAAACCCTCTTCGTTGTCAGAATCCCGTCCGTCAACAAAACCCTGTTCATCGTCAAACCCTCGTTTGTCATCAAAATCATAACCATGCTGACTTGTATCGAACAGGTAATCCCATTCATCGTCAGAACTAACAGGTTGATTTGTACTAATTTGGTAAGCCATTTACAATATTAATTCATATGTATGTACAAGAAAGAAATGTACTACGTACAAATAAAAAATAAAATTTTATATGTAATGCAAATAGTTTAAATTTGTGTAATTTGTGTAATTATGATTGTGTAACATTGTTGTAATATGTACGTATGTACTGTATTGGATCTTTGCTTCGCATTTTATATGTACAATCCAGTACAAAAGGCTCTAATCGCTTATTATATTATTATAAGTGATGTACTGTATCGTTTTGAAACTTTATATAATACAGTACTATATGATACAGTACTAAATTATCTTTTATATATGCACATTCGTACTGTACCGTACTATCTCAAAATTTTATATAATACAGTACTAAATCATCTTCAATACAATACGAAATATATGTATATTCGTATAAAATACAGTACTAAATTATCTTCCGTACAGTACACTATATATGTATATTCAATCTAAATAATCTATGCTAACCCTTGACCCATATATTGCACCAGAGATATTAAATTATAAAAAATATACATAGGCTTCAGATATTTACAGTTTTGGAATGATCATGTGGGAAATGATAACCGGTCAAAGCCTTTTTCCAATCGTAATCATGATGAATTTCCTATTCATTACGGCGAATTTATGAAATTAAGCTAAAATTCGGTCACTAAATCTGAGTATTTGGTTCCCAATTTTAAATTTTAGTTACCAAATGACATAAATAAATCAATGTTAAACCTCGAAAAAGTTTTTTGGACCTCTGATCTTGATTGATAATGCGTCTAACCCATCT